CTCTGAATGGAGCGTGGCTTGTAGGCCAGGTGTATGTGAACACCTGTGCGCAGTGATAAGACTTTATACCTCCTCTTTGCAATTCTTATTTTCTCCTTTCATCTATAAGCATTTTTAGCCATTATTTGATTTGCTTTATCCAGATGTTAATATGGTAATAGTCTTTTTTCCTTGTAGAAACTTCATATCAATCTCTAAGTAGTCCATAACTCAGTGCAAGAATAATGACAATAAGTAACATTTTTTTTTTTTTTTTTTTTCCCCCTTTTTTTCCCACAATATTCACTTTTCTGTAATACAACCTGCAGCAGCCAGGAATAGGATATTGAGCATGGAACTGTTGTCCTCCCTGGAGCTGGCACTTTTCCAGTCATGGCTAACAAACACTGTAGTTCACATTCGTTTATCAATGGGAATAATGCAAAAGCCACTTTCTAAATGCCAAAAAACGTCATCCTGGCCACACAGCCTGATTTTCCTACCCTTCAAGACAAATTTTTTCATGATGTGATGGTCACATCATCTGGATCATAGGGTTAAACTGCTTATTATGAATCTGTTAAAGATCTATTAAGAAACTAATTAACTAATTCTGTTTCAGCTCACCCAGTTTCATCAGCACTGAGAGGTCCTCCAGCATATTGCTCGACTCTTCTTATTGGCGTGCTCTGGCAAAGGCTTTGTCCTGCACTTGTGGCATTGCTAGGGTCTCCCGTGTCACAGCGCTTGGCTCGCGCCTCTGGAAGGACTGAGGGACAGATGGGTCGTGGATCAGGTTGTTTAGCTCATCCTGGTCCATTGTTTAATAATCATCAAGCAAGAGCTATATATAGGCAAGTAATAATGTTTCATTGTCTATATTCATCTCTTTACAGTATTTATATCAACCTCTAATACGCTCATCATTCCAATCAGTCTTAACTCCTGAAACGGTAAACAGTAAACTTTTGAGGTTGTTTTAATGTCTTTTGTCCTGTGTATCATACTGATATTGGTACAATAATGCCAGACAATGAGCATCCATCGTCCAAAATAGAGGCTTAAAAAATGCGATAAAGAAATTGAAAGAAGTAAGGATAAGATGACTTTTGCCATCTTTCATGATGTATTGTAGTCTTACTGGATGATGACAGTTGCCTGTAGTAAGAATACGTTTTTTCTCGCCAATTCAAGGAAAGGTGAAATCAGGACTAGCAGAGCCATCTATGGACAGAGATATTTCACAAAAATATAAAAAATAAGTACAGCTTTTTCCCCATTTTTTGTTCATTTTCCCTGGTGGCAATGGGTTTAACTTTTCTCTTCTCTTTCAGACTGTTTCTTCTCCTGTCTCTTTTTCTCTTCATTTCCTTGATATTTCTGTGATGAAGAAATATTTGTAATCCAAGACACAATCAGGAAAATAACCATATCTTTTGATTCATTTCAGTGTTGCATGTGGTCTTGTGGTAACAATGGGTAGCATTGGAGAAATGAGGCCTGTCTTAGAAAGTGTTTTTCACAGAATGCTATTATATCCACCCCCGCAATGTCGCTTAGATGCATTGAAAGCTATTGCTGAGGTATGTTTGAACTTTTACCATTTTGTTTTTATGTGTAGTTATGATTTCTAAAAGGTTTTCTAAGGATGGTTATTTTCCAAACTACAAATAATGCTGTTTTCAAATACTTAAGTTGGATGTTAAAATGTTTCATATTACATTATGGAATTTGAAGAGATCAGTATGTTTGTATTGGTGATTTTGTGAATAATGAATTGTAACTTCCTTTTACAAGGGTATATTCAATGCACTTTAATTATGTTATCAGTACATTGTAATGAAACCAAAATTTGAATTATTTAATTAAGAATTGAAATCTTCAGTCTCATTGCTTATACATTTTAAATTTATCAGTATTTTTTACCTATTAGAAGTATTAGATAAAGTATTTGTATTTAGAGGTGACTCATCTTCCAAAGAAATAGATGGTAGACTCAAACCTTATATTGTTTTTAAATGTGCCTTTTCTCTTTAGTTACTAGGCAGTCCTGCTAAGCTGGTGCAACTTGCTGGACCCATCCTGCATATGGATCCCAGGAATCCTCACCAAAATGACTTAGCTCTATTCAGACTGTAAGTATGAGTGATTAGATTTTTGTATGCATGTTAATAACTAATGTAAAGTTGATCCCTTTTGTATCTGAAAAGGACTTCTCTGGAGTAGACCTTCCTAGAATTGCAAACTACATGCAAAAGGAATTAAATAATGGTCTTGTAAAATTATCAACACATCTTGCTTTTTAAAGCAATTAATAAAAATTGAAAGTAGTAGTTGATATGACTTGTGGGCTCTAAAATTTACCATGTATTAGGACTAAAACTTATTCCATTATCACAATAAAAGATGACTTAAATTTATAAACTAATTCATTGCGGCATACAAAAGCATTTAGATGTTGAGTTCGTGTGCGTGTTCGTGTGCGTGTTCGTGTGCGTGTTCGTGTGCGTGTTCGTGTGCGTGTTCGTGTGCGTGTTCGTGTGCGTGTTCGTGTGCGTGTTCGTGTGCGTGTTCGTGTGCGTGTTCGTGTGCGTGTTCGTGTGCGTGTTCGTGTGCGTGTTCGTGTGCGTGTTCGTGTGCGTGTTCGTGTGCGTGTTCGTGTGCGTGTTCGTGTGCGTGTTCGTGTGCGTGTTCGTGTGCGTGTTCGTGTGCGTGTTCGTGTGCGTGTTCGTGTGCGTGTTCGTGTGCGTGTTCGTGTGCGTGTTCGTGTGCGTGTTCGTGTGCGTGTTCGTGTGCGTGTTCGTGTGCGTGTTCGTGTGCGTGTTCGTGTGCGTGTTCGTGTGCGTGTTCGTGTGCGTGTTCGTGTGCGTGTTCGTGTGCGTGTTCGTGTGCGTGTTCGTGTGCGTGTTCGTGTGCGTGTTCGTGTGCGTGTTCGTGTGCGTGTTCGTGTGCGTGTTCGTGTGCGTGTTCGTGTGCGTGTTCGTGTGCGTGTTCGTGTGCGTGTTCGTGTGCGTGTTCGTGTGCGTGTTCGTGTGCGTGTTCGTGTGCGTGTTCGTGTGCGTGTTCGTGTGCGTGTTCGTGTGCGTGTTCGTGTGCGTGTTCGTGTGCGTGTTCGTGTGCGTGTTCGTGTGCGTGTTCGTGTGCGTGTTCGTGTGCGTGTTCGTGTGCGTGTTCGTGTGCGTGTTCGTGTGCGTGTTCGTGTGCGTGTTCGTGTGCGTGTTCGTGTGCGTGTTCGTGTGCGTGTTCGTGTGCGTGTTCGTGTGCGTGTTCGTGTGCGTGTTCGTGTGCGTGTTCGTGTGCGTGTTCGTGTGCGTGTTCGTGTGCGTGTTCGTGTGCGTGTTCGTGTGCGTGTTCGTGTGCGTGTTCGTGTGCGTGTTCGTGTGCGTGTTCGTGTGCGTGTTCGTGTGCGTGTTCGTGTGCGTGTTCGTGTGCGTGTTCGTGTGCGTGTTCGTGTGCGTGTTCGTGTGCGTGTTCGTGTGCGTGTTCGTGTGCGTGTTCGTGTGCGTGTTCGTGTGCGTGTTCGTGTGCGTGTTCGTGTGCGTGTTCGTGTGCGTGTTCGTGTGCGTGTTCGTGTGCGTGTTCGTGTGCGTGTTCGTGTGCGTGTTCGTGTGCGTGTTCGTGTGCGTGTTCGTGTGCGTGTTCGTGTGCGTGTTCGTGTGCGTGTTCGTGTGCGTGTTCGTGTGCGTGTTCGTGTGCGTGTTCGTGTGCGTGTTCGTGTGCGTGTTCGTGTGCGTGTTCGTGTGCGTGTTCGTGTGCGTGTTCGTGTGCGTGTTCGTGTGCGTGTTCGTGTGCGTGTTCGTGTGCGTGTTCGTGTGCGTGTTCGTGTGCGTGTTCGTGTGCGTGTTCGTGTGCGTGTTCGTGTGCGTGTTCGTGTGCGTGTTCGTGTGCGTGTTCGTGTGCGTGTTCGTGTGCGTGTTCGTGTGCGTGTTCGTGTGCGTGTTCGTGTGCGTGTTCGTGTGCGTGTTCGTGTGCGTGTTCGTGTGCGTGTTCGTGTGCGTGTTCGTGTGCGTGTTCGTGTGCGTGTTCGTGTGCGTGTTCGTGTGCGTGTTCGTGTGCGTGTTCGTGTGCGTGTTCGTGTGCGTGTTCGTGTGCGTGTTCGTGTGCGTGTTCGTGTGCGTGTTCGTGTGCGTGTTCGTGTGCGTGTTCGTGTGCGTGTTCGTGTGCGTGTTCGTGTGCGTGTTCGTGTGCGTGTTCGTGTGCGTGTTCGTGTGCGTGTTCGTGTGCGTGTTCGTGTGCGTGTTCGTGTGCGTGTTCGTGTGCGTGTTCGTGTGCGTGTTCGTGTGCGTGTTCGTGTGCGTGTTCGTGTGCGTGTTCGTGTGCGTGTTCGTGTGCGTGTTCGTGTGCGTGTTCGTGTGCGTGTTCGTGTGCGTGTTCGTGTGCGTGTTCGTGTGCGTGTTCGTGTGCGTGTTCGTGTGCGTGTTCGTGTGCGTGTTCGTGTGCGTGTTCGTGTGCGTGTTCGTGTGCGTGTTCGTGTGCGTGTTCGTGTGCGTGTTCGTGTGCGTGTTCGTGTGCGTGTTCGTGTGCGTGTTCGTGTGCGTGTTCGTGTGCGTGTTCGTGTGCGTGTTCGTGTGCGTGTTCGTGTGCGTGTTCGTGTGCGTGTTCGTGTGCGTGTTCGTGTGCGTGTTCGTGTGCGTGTTCGTGTGCGTGTTCGTGTGCGTGTTCGTGTGCGTGTTCGTGTGCGTGTTCGTGTGCGTGTTCGTGTGCGTGTTCGTGTGCGTGTTCGTGTGCGTGTTCGTGTGCGTGTTCGTGTGCGTGTTCGTGTGCGTGTTCGTGTGCGTGTTCGTGTGCGTGTTCGTGTGCGTGTTCGTGTGCGTGTTCGTGTGCGTGTTCGTGTGCGTGTTCGTGTGCGTGTTCGTGTGCGTGTTCGTGTGCGTGTTCGTGTGCGTGTTCGTGTGCGTGTTCGTGTGCGTGTTCGTGTGCGTGTTCGTGTGCGTGTTCGTGTGCGTGTTCGTGTGCGTGTTCGTGTGCGTGTTCGTGTGCGTGTTCGTGTGCGTGTTCGTGTGCGTGTTCGTGTGCGTGTT